ATGTTTATAAAGTTTCAGAACAGTAAGTGTTTTTTACAACCATAAACACTAAATATTTATACTGTATATAGTAGGTGCTTTTTCAGTGTTAGAACAGTAGATGTGTATAACAATATAGACACTAGATGTTTATACAAAGTTAGAACAAAAGATGTACACAATTTAGACATTAGATGTTAATTTAATGTTGGAATAGTAATATATATAACCATACAGACATTAGTTGTTTATACAGTGTTAAAACAGTAGATGCAGTTTACAGTATAGACATTAGATGTTTATATTATGGCAGAACAGCAGGTCTGTTTATACTCAGTTTATATGTAGTAACAGAATACTAAAAAATATATATTTGAGGAAGAAAGAAATTCAGATCATGTAGTCTGTTTATAAATATTATTTGAGTAAGTTTCAGGTTTATTTTTTATGAACATATATGTTTGTTGGAGAATTTGTAAACATTGCCAAACATTCATATGTACACAGCTTGTTATGAGGCAGTGATGAAGGAAAAGGAAATGCTGCAATATCGAAGTGATTTCCAGAAGAAGCTAATCCAACAACTAGAAGAAGATTTGTCCTGTGTGAACTCTTTGACTTGTCTCTATCGTGGAGAGGGAGAGGTATTTAATCAGTTTTTTTGTTCAAGTTCAAATTGAGATAGGAAGGGAGTGGTATCAGTAATGCTGAGCTAAAATGATACACTGCATCACAGAACAATAAATGGTTTCATTGGCTGTAGAAATTTTGAACATTTTATCTGACTTGAATGATAGCAAAGAGTCAGTTGAACGATGTCACATCATGAAAGGTGTAAACATGTCTAGATTTTGAACGGTTCTTTGAGGAGTATCGAGCTGATACTTGTAGGGAAATTCCATGCACATAAAAGAAAGTTTTCTGCAAGTTACCTGAAACTTTTGAAATACAAAATGGGAAGAAATGGCTAGATGGATTAAAAGATACACAATGCTAAGTGCATCTACAATTGGAAAGCTTCACAGTTTTAGGACCTAGTAATGTGAGTATCTTTAACTCACACATCCGTGACATTGGAGCCTGCAGTACATTCCAGTGCTGTTAATTTAATTCCAGTAAATTTAACAACACCAAAGACTTGAGCAAGAGAACCTAGCTTCACAGTGAGCTCTATATCTGCAACCACTTCTGTTGTTTTTTTTGCAAACACTTACTTCACAAATTAATTCAGCCAAACAAGCAAACCTTATGCTTGGTAATAAATACTGATAGTCCCAGCATTTTCCAGTTCCAATCACAGGGGAATGCTGTCCTCCTGTTGATGAGGACAAGTATTATATTGACGAGAGTGTTATACTTAATTACAGTACTTTAGATTCATTGGAGTAGATGGCTGAAGCTAAATTTTATTTTAAGCAAACTTTATGTAATGTACGAGTAACTGATATTTTGCCCATCCATTCTGTCCTACACCTCCATAATGAAATGACACCAATGTCTTCAACTATCACCGTATCAGCTGACATATATTATCAGATGTGTTATAAATATATACTTTTGTTTTGTATCTAATTAAAACAGATAATATATTATTTTAATAGCATATAAATCTGCACATGGTAATGACCACAATCTTGAGAATTATGTGTAAGGATTCAGCATGTGGGTCACCATATCTGGATAAATTTTCATTCAAATTTGATATGGGCAATTTTATAAAACTTCAGTTAAGTGACATGTTTGTTAAAACATGAAAATATTATGTTAAATGTTTGTTTTGAGTCTGTAATCATAGTAGATCACCTGATATACTTTGTTATAAAATCTATAACCAATGTGTAAATGAATATGGTTCATGTAGTTTGAGCCACCAGAAGTTAGAACATGCTCTATTCCTAAACTGGTACTTTATCAATAGCGAATGTATTTGTTAACCAAATCTGTTTTTATAACATTTTTTGCTGTTATGATTATAGGGGCAAGCTGCTTCTCCATTGTTCCCTACAGAAATCATTGCAGAAGTTTCAAAGGAAGGCACTGATCACAAAGGTAAACCTTTAGAGAGAGAAATCCATGATCATATCAGGTAATCCTGAGAAACTTTGATCAAACCTTTACATGAGAAAGTCACAATAAAACCAGGTAAACCTTTACTGGAAGAAAGTCATACTTATTCAGGTAAATAAATACAGAGATAAATGAATGATCAAATCAGGTAAGCTTTTACAGTGACAAAATTCTCTAGGACCACCATCACTTTTCATTAAATCATTCAGAACCCATGTTTTGAACTTGAAACACTAAAATTGTTTTTATTTTTTCTTTGTTCTTATTACAGTGACAAAGTTCTCTAGGACCACCCTCACTTTCCATTAAATCATTCAGAACCCATGTTTTGAACTTGAAACACTAAAATTGTTTTTATATTTTCTCTGTTCTTATTACAGTGACAAAGTTCTCTAGGACCACCCTCACTTTCACCACTTTCCATTATATCATCCAGAACCCATGTTTTGAACTTGAAACACTAAAATTGTTTTTATCTTTTCTCTGTTCTTACATTTTGCTACCTTAAACTGCTGTAACGTTTGGTTCTGTATGAAGACATTTATGTTGAGCATCAGTACTATGTGAGAGTTTATAAATACTGATGAACATTGTGGAATATCAACTTCCATCTAGTGGTGCTCAAAAGTGAGAGGTTTGTAGCATTTATTACTTAATAATTAGAATATTACCTAATAATAATCTAATACAATTTTGTTGGATCTTTTCTTCAGTACGCACCTCATCGCCCGACTTGACTGGGACAGCTGAGAACTTGCTTCCAATTATTTCCAGCCAGCGAGAACGTTTTAGGCAACGGAACCAGGAACTGGAAGCTGTATGTAGTGACTGGAGTTGAATAGCTTTTAGTTTAACTGCATTTTATTCATACTGGACATATGACACCACATGGACAGTCCAATCTGTTCATCAGATTTGTGCCTTATATATACAGTAGAATCTTAACATTAAGGACACCCTTCCAACTGCATTCAAATGCCCTCTTTAGCAAAATGCCCTCAAAAATGAGCCACACAAAGCTGGATTCTATATTGACCAAACAAATTTCTGAATTTTAAGGCCCTCCATTTTGTTTGGTGTATGCAGGATACAGGTGTTCATGAGTTACACGTTGCCATCACATGGAGTGTTGTCAACAGGAGGTCTCAGGGGGTGGACTAACTGTGCCCTTTTTTTCTTTATGATTGGTCACAAACTTTCAAAGTACTTCTCTTCAGAGGTTGAACTGCTAAATATTTCACATTTATTTTACTTTCAAAGACTGAAGTAGAAATCCCACTGAAAATAAAGCAACAAATCACCACTTGTGTCATTAGATTGTTTATGTGACACCATAATATGATAATTTTGAGAGCAACAAAGCACATGAACAGAAATAAGTCAACTTGACCCCTGCTCCGAGAACACAATGTGGAATTTATCAGCTTGTGTATCCTACAGTGTTTACAACGAGAATTACCCAGAGTAATAAGATTGCACTTTGAATCTGTGAAAAATTTTATTACAGTATAATATAATGTTAAAGTGAATAGTGGCAACATTATATTCCTACACAGTGAATTCAAAATGTTTTATCTGTTTATCTTTGGCACAAACATAAATTAGATAAAAAAATCTTGACAGTTCCAATCTTGTGTAAAAATGTCAACATGATAAAAACAGACTGGCACAAAGAGAATAAATAACCTTATTTATAAGACGTTGTGTTAAATTGTCAAGTGCATCACCTAAAACTGGTTAATAATTTTCAACTATCTCAAAAATTTAGTTAACTAGTTTTGACTGTTCACAATAAAATTATGAATTTTTTTCAGAGAATTTTTTTCGAATTTCAAAAAAAGAATAATCCAGATTTTCATTAGTCTCATAATCCAATAGTATTCACACATTTTTAGACTTTACAAGCTTAGAAAACTTGCTCATATTATTATAAATCTTGTGATATAAAAATGTATATATAACTTGCTTCCATTTGATTTAGCCATAAAGTCTTTAATAATGTGAATTTTAATTTAGGTTACTAGAATATGTGATCTAGTACGTCAGTAAAAATAAGTGTTAAAAGTATATCGGTGACCAATTTTTGTTTATTTAGGAAAATACCAATTACCGTCAGCAGCTAAGCCTCTTGCAAAGTGAGATGGAACGTCTTCATTTTGATAACATTAAGTTATATGAGAAGATCAAATTCTTGAAATCTTATCCAATTCAGGTAAGTACAAAATCTGTTTTACTAACAACACACAACTAAACCATTGAAACAAACATTGAAGAACTGGATATCAGGTAATGTGGAGAGATGAAGTATTATAAAAATATTAAAGAGGTTAACTCAGTAATAATATTGACACAAATGAAAGTTTCAGAGAGTGGATGCAAAGCTAATATAATATAGCTAATTTTTTCCATTTCAAATGCACTTCTTGAGAATGGAGGGATGTAATTGAAAGTTTGAAGTCACCTCACCTTATAAGGCTTGAACTCATGTTTATTTGAAAAACTCCAAACAGATATGTTATCTATTCAGAACTTCTGTTGTAATAACTCAAGAATGATGTAGTAACCAGTGTGATAAATTTTATGTTGCAGCTGGAAGTTGTGTGCAACAGAAAAGTTAAAATCAACTTTTTTTTCTTCTCAAATGTCAAATCCTTCAAGCCAGTTAGTTATGATGTGTCTTTCTCACAAACTATTAAAGTTACACTTGAAGAAGCAGAGAGAGAAGTCAAGTATGCTTTGTGTTCTGATATGCAGGTTTAATAATTTCTGTTTACACAGCGACCCCGTTCGGAAGATGAGATGGAAAGTCGTTATTCTGTACAATATGAAGAAAAACTAGATCCCTTTTCTAGATTTAGCAAACAGGTAAGATAACATGGAGAATTTTCAGGATATAAATATACAAACAAATTGTACTCGTACTGTTAATTTTATACATATATGTTTTTCCCATGAACTTTTAGCATCATTATTAAGAAATCCATAACTTACTTTAGCGATTTGTTCATTTATTGAGTGTTTTTGTAAGTTGTTCTTTAATTGACAAACTTTTTTTTAAACTTGAAAATACAAATTAGATGGTGAAGCATGATTTTTTTTTTAAATTTGAATATGAGCTTAGATATTTAAATAATTCACTTTAGACAGGAGACTTAAGTTGCTACAGTGTAAGCTGTATTGTACTCAAAGTTTGTTTCTTTTCAATTTCAGGAAAAACAAAGGAAGTATATGAACCTCAGCCCTTTCGAAAAGATAACCTTGAGTATGGTAAGGTTAATTTTTATTTAATGGTTTAAAAAATATTCTTTACAAAATGTTATAGATTTATTCAAATAAGCAATGATATATTTATAATTTGTAAACTGTTTATTTTATTTGTAATTCTTAAATCTAAAATACTTTTTTTTTATAAATAGACAAAATACTCCATCTTACCCCTTTAAACATTGGTTCAAAATACAATCATTTTGTTTACTACCTGAAACAACTATTGTAATATGTTAATACATTTTGAAGTAACGAGTTAAAGAAAAGAAACAATACTATTTTACAATGTTGTAAGCAACAAAAACCTTGTATTGTTCACTCTGTCAGTATTTTAGTTTATTGCCTTTAGTTTTTGATTATTTAATGTATGTTACTTCACAGGGACGTACCATTCTGTCAAACCGTATAGCACGCACCATTACCTTTATCTACACTCTGCTACTGCACTGTTTGGTCTTTCTGGTAAGTTGTGGGGTTAAATGAATCATTAAAATATGTTGTAGTTTCTAAGTTTAAGAGTTATCTTTACATTTTTAACATCTATCTGTGAATTGTAGTAAAGCTTTTAGTATGTTGTATAACTTATGTCGTTATATGAGGGCTCTGTAAATTATTAATGTGTTAATAATTATTAATAATTAGTATGTATAATTAGTAATTAATAATTAATATAATTAATTAGTAATTAATAATTAATATAATTAATTGGTAATTAATAATTATTAATTATTAATAATTAGTATGTATAATTAGTAATTAATAATTATTAATTATTAATAATTAGTATGTATAATTAGTAATTAATAATTAATATACTTAATTAGTAATTAATAATTAATATA